GGTCACGTGACATCACTTCCTGATGTGATACCACTTCCTGTGAGATCTTTGAATATGGCTCACCGGCCCACTGGGTGATAAAAAGTTCATGATCCGGCCCCACACTCAAAAAGGTTGGACACCCCTGGTTTAAAGTATTGCTAAATAGTTCACTGAGTGAGGGTTTAGTTCCTTTTTATAGGAATAGAAGTGACAGAAAAATTTACCCTGCATCAGACATTTGAAGATGTTCCAGACAGTTGGTTTTGTTTTTGTGGTCTGTTTAAATTAGCTTATCTCAGTATGGTTTTCCAGCTGTCCATTACAACTGGCATCCTTTCTGGCAGTCTCAGCAAAACAACCTATTTACTGAGCCTGTACACCAGGGGACAGCAGGGTTTTTGGGCAGAGTGCCAAAAACACCTGCAACCTTGACTCATAGGATGTTGGTGTGCCGGGTCAGACAGTGGAGGAGCCATGAGTTGCCCAATTCTTGTTACAGCAGCAAGGCCCAACCCCTTCCCTGCCATCCACTATTCATATCTCAAGAGAGTCTCTACAGGTTAAGGTTAAGCAAGTTAGCACAACAGTGCATGGAAACTTTATTGGTCTGCCACAACCAGTGCTCTATCTGCACTGAAAATAGGATTTCAATTTCCAGGGTGGTGATCCAGTGCCTTTTCATGAATGCTAAATTCACAACAACAACAAAAATTAAGTCAGTGAAGAGACTTGTGGAAATATAGACTGTTATGGTCAAACCAAGGTAACTTCCTCCACAGTCACCAGCTTGAATATTCAGTTACGTAATATGAAATTTACAGCAGTTAATATTGAAATCTGTTCTTTTAATGTTGACTTGTTTTCACTGTATTTACATGGTTAGCATCTAAATTTTTAACAGTAGACTGAACAGGCTGCAGCTCCTACCATGAAAACCAGGTATCAACACCAGGAAAATTTTAGATTTATGGTACCAAGATGATGTCAAACTCCCATTTCTGTTACTAACTGTGTCAGAAGGAGTCTATAACTCGCAATATATATCTGTGCTTCTATAGAAAGAATTGAATTAAAATGTTTTCTCATAGGGAAACAAATTAAAAAAATCAAAAACTTTATCTTGCTGAGTTTTGCAGCCAACTTGTTGGCCTTACACTTCACATAAACAAAATGGCTAGTTTCTGAAGGCTGTCTATGAGAAGTGCACTGAAATATAACAGTATTGAGACAATGGGAAATCCAGACAGTGGAATGATGTTAATTAAGCAGCTCAGAGGAAAATTGTAAAACCAGCACCAGTGTCAGATGCTGAGGTCTCTAGTTGTGAGGAAACGTTTGGTGGAAGACACCACTAGTAGACCATCTCAAACTTGGGGAAAGAGGAGGAATGGTAATGTCAGCAGGAATACCTGTTTGGTGGACAGCAGTTTAATAATGCCTTAAACTTGGAAGAAATTGTTATTGCTCAAAACTAGCTACCTGAGAGAGTCGATCATTGAAAACTTGTCTTTACTAGTAAACCTTATTATGTTTGAACATAGTAGCAAAGAGTGAAGTTGGCTGACATAAAGCTGTTTTTAATTAGCTTAGTCTGATACACCTGGGGTAGTCAGATGTACCAAAAATAATCAACTGGTCAACCTCTCACAATTATTTGAATATTATATTTTGAATGTGAAGGCCAGTCCTCAGTAATTGAATTAAACTGCATAGTAATACTCTGTTCCCTTGGACATTTTTTTGAAGTTGTCTCCTTCAGAGGAGCAGGGTGCTTCCAGCTAGATGTAGTTTCCCACTTTTAGGTTCATTCCCAGTCTTAACATGAAATTGCTTGTTTTGTAGTAGATGTTGGAGCCAGCGACGGCGAGGTGGTTACTTTTTGCTTCCTTTTCAATAAGTCTGCTGAAAAGTGATAACAATGGTTCAATATAATTTTATGAACCTAGTCCTGTTGTTATCTGTGTAGCCTTGATTTGAGTCTCAAGTTTCTCTCCTTGAGATTCAAAACTTCTGGCTTGAATCTGGACCCTAATGTTGGCATGCTGAGTGAAAGTAGCTGAAATTCTTATATCCCCAAGAAAATGAACTTCAGAGTATTTAGTTTGCCACTATACAGGAAGCAGCTTTGCTTTTGGATAAGTCACCTGATGACATCTCTATGTGTGACATTTTTGAGGAAGGTTATATGCAAAGGATCATCCAGCAAGTGCTAAGAGAATCCACCAAGGCAATAACTAGTGGAACAGATTGCATGGACATGCAGTGTGGTTGTGCAGTGTCCCCAGCTTACTAAAATCACATCTGCCAGAGCACTTTTAATTCTAATAAGTGGTGGCAAAGTAAAAAGCCCTTGCAGACACTTACTGCACATGCTCTGTAGACACAGGTTATTGTACATCAGTCTAGCTATACAGCAGTGCCAGACCAATGTAGGCTTGATTCTTAATTGCCAGAGGGTAAGGAAGGTTGTATTTATAATGTATTTTCAGATTCTTATGTTAATAAGTGGCTGATTCTATTAAGCAAGATGAGAAGCAGAAAATACTTGTAGTATATGGCTCTTGGCATTTGTTTTTTTTTTAAGTTGTTTTAATGCTAATATGCAGTTGATTTTTGTATTGGGTAGCTTTCTTCTACCTAGTGGACACTGTAGATACCTTTAACCAAGTATTGCAGAGCTATTTAGCATCACTAGTTGACTGACATTTTAAGGCAGGGGTGGACAATTATTTGGGCTGGAGGGCTACTTAGGGAGTTTCGGTGAGCTGTTATGGGGGGGGGAATGAGAGGGGCAATGGGTGCTGACCCGGCCCATGACAGCTCACTAAAACTCCCTAAGTGGCCCCCGAGCCCAAATAATTGCTCACCCCACCCCGAGTCCTTGGCATGCAGCCAGTTCAGGCAGGACTTGCACCCATGTGGCCCAAGGCAGCATGCAGGAACACAGCGTGACACCAGCCCGGCTTGGCCACATGCTGGGGATTTGGGGCTGGGTAGGAGGGGTGCAGGCAAAACAGGACCAGGAGCGGCAGGTTATCTGGGCCGGGCCAGTGTTGCACTGTTTTCCCCCACTTCTCCCTGCACCCCCCTCCCCTGCCCTGAGTCCCCAGCATGTGGCTGGGCCAGACCATTGCTACTCTGGGTTCCCACATGCTACTTCAGGCCACATGAGTACAGCTGGCGTGACTGAAGCATATGGGAACATGGTGCCACACCATGTTAGTGATGCCTGTGCCCCTACCAGGCTCCAGTCTAGGAGAGCCTAGATAACCTGCAGCTCCTTGCTGTCTTCCCCCTGCACCAGTTCCCTCACCAGTGGAGAGAACCTTACTTGAGCTTCAGCTTGCCAGGGGTCAAGCTGTATGGTCTGCAAATGGCTACAGTGTTGTAGCTGTGTGCAGACAGCCTTGGGCAGAAATCTGGCCAGGAGCCCAGTGCCCCCCACCTTGGAGCATACACTGGAGGCTAGGAGGCAGGCCAGGCCAGGCTAGGTGAAGAGAGAAGGGTGAGAGGCACTGAAATCCAGGGCAGCTGGGGGTTGGATACAGTTCTCCTTCAGAGGAGCAGCACTGGGTTGGATAGAATCATTTGACAGGCTGAGTCCAGCCTGTGGGCCATATTATGCCCACCCCATATTATGTCTTAAGGACGGGTTTCTGTCCAGTTTCTTCCACATCCTGTTTTAGGACCAGTAATCGGATTCTAGCAGTCTGGATTGATGCATCTTTTTTTTTTTATTCACCTGGGAAATCCCTCTGGTGTCTTTTGGTTTGTTGCCGATGGATAGCAAGTTAGCTTAACACCAGTACTTCTGAAAACTTGCTCCTTGAGCCACTCTGAATATCAGGAAAGCTTCAGTAGAACGTGGGAGAACTAGGTGGGATTTAAAGATCTTGCGAACATTGGTGTTGCTGCCTTTGAATCTTATGGGGAGCTGCAAGCTGTCAGTCTAAACTGATACCTGAGGTGCAGAAATATGAGTAACTTTTCAATTAAAATTTGCTAAAAATGCCTTCGTTAAAACCTGTTCTTTGCTCTTTTTTTTTGTAGGACAAGGACTTAAAGGACTGGGCATGCTCAAACGTTGCTGTTCCTCTTCCCAGTTCTTTATCCTTGGTCATGTCTTGTGGCCTATCTCAGCTTATCCACTAACTCCTTTGAGCCATTCAGGAGGGCAGTTTCTGGTAGTTTTGGCTTTTTATGCTTTCAGTGAGTTTTTAAGCCTGAAGAACTGTTGTTGACACTCCTATGCGTAATACCCATTGTTGACCTGTTGCAGTGCTGTACTATAAGTGCACCTACTGCTGATCACATTTAACTGCTTGCTTTCTGATTTGAAAGATGCAGTAGTTCCTTTCACTATTGGATTATTAACCAAGCAGATAACTCATAAACCCATAAGAAGTTTACACCATGAACTGTGTTTTTCTGATTTTACTGAAGTCGCTGACATTTTTTAGGGAAAGCTATTATTCAGGGCACTTTAAGTCAGTGACATCCCAGATGTTTTTGCACTTGTCCTTTAAACATTAACAGTTTACTCACAATAAGGATTTACGTAAATATATACCAGTGTGCTACAGATTGCAGCATAGGTCATGTTCACATTAATCTTGCTTATGCACTTGTTTAAGTGTCTTATGCTGCCTACAACATTTTATGTACAGCATATAATGGATATGTAGGAACCCAGCTTAACAGAATTCATCTACGCATCTAGGACATTTTTCCCATTTATTGGGTTGGGGTGGGGGGGGGAATCCTACACTTCCTGCCCCCTCCCTCCTAACATTTCTAAAAGATCATTGCTACTTTGACCGTTTTGGAGTTACAGTACTTCCAAAGTTCATACTCTATGTAGTGTTTACAAGATTTATGCAAAAAGAATGAGTGGCAGCTCACAGACTTGGAGCTTTTCACTGTGTGGTGAAAGATCAACAAAGAACACAATGACATCATTACTTAATTGTGAATGCCTTACTCTGAGAGAGGCCAACAGTATGCATTAGTAAGCAGAGAAACCAAAATGTGATGTTACTAAACTCAGTCTACCTACTATATACCAATGAAACACTTCAAATGAGGGTGATTTAGTTTTTATAATACCTGAATTGAATCACTAACCTTCAGGGTTTTTGCAAAGAGGAACACTGCATCTTTAAATAAGAAAGTTTGGATTTACTTTTGCTCCTACAGCATGTCAGCCTCTCAAGTTCATTTCTTGCAACTTACACTGTAGTGATTTGTAATCAAGTCTCCATGAGCTCGTGACATGAAATACTGTTCTGTAGTCAAGTACTATCAAACTTTTCTGATAATGCTGAGTTAGGACAACCAAACAAAGCTAGCACTAAATCATGTTTAAAACTGTATACCTTTTAATGATCTTTTCAAGTATTTGTTACTGAAATTGTATAATGTGGAGTTTACTAGGTGTTATGTTCCAGTGCAGTGCCTCCTTTTCTTTCCCCACTGCTCTCTGTGGTGAGAAATTTGCCTTGTTTAAAATAATTACTGTGCCCTCGCATGACTGTTAAAGCTTTCTGTGCAAAGATGATTGTCTAAGTGCCACATGCCTATGATTGAAAAAAAAAATCTATTGTTACCTCTGAGTTGTGTTCAACTGAAATGCTATTCAACAAATAACTTAGGAAAATAGTTCTATTTTTAGCTTTTTTCATATCTCTGCTGTCTTTTTCTCATTTTATTTTGGCAGCAGTGAAGAATGGATTGTATAAAGACTGCCTGCTAATATGAACAAAATGCACTTGTAATTCATGGAAATAAATTTAAATCTTATATCTTCACATTAACGTTAAAAATTAGTTTTTGGTTTCCTCTTGAATAATGTGTTTGAATGGAAATCAGGTTCAGTTTGCTACTGTAGTTAGTATACAAGGATGCTTGCTGGTTAATTATCCCAGGCTTCCTCATAGTACTTCTTAGTCTGCTTTTCAAGGAAATTTAGAAAGCCATTACCTTAAACTCTCAGTACATAAGGGTGCTTACAGGATATAAAGTTCTAAATTTTTTTTCTTTATTTATAGTTTGTGTTAGCCTGCCAAAACTAATTTTTAATAAATAAGTGTTAATTCTTAAAGGGCATTTTCTATTGGGAAGATCCTGTGGTCCCATGAATGTTTTGTTACATAGAACATACATTAAGAACATTCTCAAAACACTGCACGGGCGATGGTTGGATTGTGGTATAGTACCTATGCTAACAACTTTTTCTACAATACTGCACTTGACTGTTGATACTAGTGTAGAAATTTCTCTTTACTTTTCTACATATCATATCTTTACCAAAATGCTTTTCTCTCCGCTTTAAGAAGCTGAACTATTTCTAGATTCTCTGCCCCTGCATCATCATGGTTACTACAGGAATTAATTTAGCAAGAATAGAGAAGATGACTGTTACTGAAACTTTTAGTTTATAACACCTCAACTTTTAATTTATTAAGGAAGAGCTTTGGCAGCTCATTTCATGCTCCCCTTTCCCTGTTCATCTTTTGAATACTAGTTTTATTTGCTGGGGGGTGGTTTTTGCTCTTTCTGTGTTTGTTTTTTAAATGAACTAACTCTTGAATTAGCATCTCTTCTAAATGCGAAGCCGTGGGTTTGCTTTACTAACACCTGGTGCTTTGCAGCTTCTTTCTTCCTTAACCATCCTTGCTGAGTCAGACGGGCATGAAACCACTATCTGCATTCATCATGGTCTTTTCCTGCAATCATTAAATACTTTTGAGTTGAACTCATAGATGTTTGAACTGCAGAAGCATGATTTTTATCAGATTGGAGAATATTCAAAAGGAAGGTGCCTACAATAACATTGTGTTATGTGACTTTTTTCCTAACTACATCTGATTTTATTTTTTAATGTGTGTATTATTTAGGTTATATTTCTGGAAATTCCCTTAGAGTAGCAGAGAACTGAAAGGCGCATTGTTTTGGATGTGATGTGTTTATTAATAGTATAAAGATTTTTTTGGTTATAAGGAATGTAAACAGATGACTGTCAAAAACATTCCAACCTTTATAGATAAAGAAAAATGCAAATATGCAAACCCGTAATACAAGAAAATTGTTTTGAGACTTTGGCAACATACTCCCTAAAAGTTTAATACACTACACGGGGTGAGCAGAGTAGTGCACTATTTGCTTTCAGGAGTTCACTATGATTACATAACTCAGCAGTGCCCAAATAAAATGGAGTCAAGTCTGGTTATTATCAGTTAACTGGGGGGAGGGATCTGTTGTTGCTGCCCACCATAATATGCTACAGTATGTTTATACCATGTCAGAGGTTGTCTGCTGAGCAACTGTACCATAGATTGAAACTTTATTAATATATATTTGCCTATGTTAGTGTAGTTTATTTAGTGCATTAGTTATTGATATTTTTAAATTTTATTGATTGCTGTTACAGCTCAGTTATAGCTCAGTGATATGGTATAAATATATTCCCAGGTATACATGCAAATACAGACAACTCTGGTCCCTTGCATAGTACTTTTATATTTGTACAGCAATGTCTTCAAGCAATCCCAGATTTTAGGGAAAATATTTTTGTAAATGCAGTGGTTTAAAAAGTCTGAACAATCCTTTTACATAAGTTTTAAATTCATATGTGCTTTAAAATGGTTTAGTTAATTGAAATACAAGACACTAAATTAGTGAAAAGTGCACATTAGTAAAGTGAAGCATACAATGATTCTTGTAGCATGTGCTATGATCAAAACTAAATAAAAAGTTGGGAAGAATTTAAAAGTTGGATTATATTTGTAAATCCAGAACAAATTTTTAAAGGTTGCAGCTGGTTTACTTACTATTGTTGCCTTTTCTTGTGTTGTATCAGTGTAGAGCACTCTTAAGAAAATACTCAAACTGCTTTGTATTTGCTTTGTACTGTTGGTGCCTTCTTAGTTATGTACCCCAAAAGTCCTGCATAGCTAATTTAGTTAATAGTAAGTTTAAAAGAAAAACATAAAGGAAAATTTTGTAAAAATCATTTTCTGTATGTTCTTATTCATTATATTGTAACAATTAAACGTTTATATTGTGACAGATTTGTGATTTGGTTAATCTGTATAGAACAACTGTAAGTAGCAAAGGTTTATATTTCGTCTTAATTCTTCTGATGTTGTAAACGTACATGATTTTTTTAAATCAATTAACTGAATGTTCTGTTTTTCTGGCATCTGACTCTTGTAAAAACAAATGCAAAGAAAATCATTAAATTGTGTCCCTGTATTACCAAAAGAAGTATAGTACTGTGCATATATAGAATGACTGGAATTTCATGTGTTAAAAATAACTGCTGCTATCTTTTACAAAACGAATATACATTAGATTATTACCCTCTAACTTCATTTTTTTAAATGACATTCACTTGAATTATCTATTGAGAATTAACCAAAAGGTCTTTAAAAATAAAATACTGGCATCTGGTATTTCTCCTTGTATTATCCCTACCAAAATATTTAAGCATGATCAGATGAAATTATAATTAATGTGGCCATCCAAAAGCTTGATAAGTAAAATCCCTACTAGTAAATTGACTTTTGTTTGTTGTTATGGGATTGTAAAAGGGATCAGGGTTTTAAAATATTGAGGATGTAATATGGCAGATAAATTCCTGTATGTCAGTCTAGCTGAGAATACTGCAGGTACTTTGAACACTTTTATGCCCAACTTTATTCTTTTGGCCAGAGAAAAAAATGGTGGTGAGGAGTTTATTGCACTTTGGGTAGCATCTTGGGTTGCTAATAATTCAAGCTACCTTTTTAATTGCAAAAAAGATTCAAGGGTTTTTTGTATTCTGAGCAGGCCTCCATTAAGAACGGAGGTAAGCTTGTCATTTTGTTTGTGTTTGTGTGTGTGTGAGAGCAAGCTACTTAATTTCATGCCTACTGTAAGTTTGCTTTCAGTCTTGTTAGCTTATCTTAATCAGCCAAGTACAAAGCACAATATTTTTTTTTAATTTTTTTTTTTGAAAGGCCCACTTGTTTAAAAAAAAAAAAAAAAACTTAAAAAAAATTTGACGGGAAAAAAAAGAACCTTTTTTTTTTTAAAAAAGGGGCGTTTTAAAAAAAAAAAAAAAAAAAGACTACTAAAGCATTGTACTGGTACAAAATGAGCATTCTGCTTGTATAGTAATCTCGGTCCATTTTAATAGTGGCATTCCTGCAAGGGTAGCCACATCTCCAATTTGCTGTAATGCTGCTTGGTGTTCCACGAGTACTCTTCAGAATCCATGGACCGAAATTATGCACTCTGGGTCCAGGTTTGAAGGACATTGCTGGTGACAATGCAAGTAAGTTTGCATTTGTGTACTTTGGGAATCTAGTAGCTAAATAAGTTGTTGTGGAGCTCAGCCCATGCCAAGAAATTGGGTTCCAGAATCCCAGCTGCCATTATAGATGTTTTAAAACTATACAGATTCTTGTGTTTATAGTGAGCAGGGTTAGATAGGAGATGGAGTTGTGCCCAACTAGAGAGAGAGCCTGAAGGTAATTCTCTGAAGTGACTTATTTCACTGCTTCTTTCAAGACCCTACAGATGTCACAATAACAGAATTTGATATTTTTCCCAAGAGGCTTCAGAAATCATCGTTGTCATAGGCAGGTGCCTACTTTCTTATTTTGCAGTTGCCTTTTGCTGTCCAGCTTTCCTCAGTCAGCAGACTGATTTCCCCTCTAGAACATGCCTCAGTGAGAAATGTCAAGAAGAAACCATCCTGTGCCATGTCACCACTAGGATTTTTATATCCAGATAACTAACATGGTCAGAGCTCTTGTAAAATCTACATCTTTTTCCCCAAGTGAAGATACTCATCATAAACAAAAGTTATTTTGGTTACTTGGATTACAGTGCATACGTCTTCTGTTGTCCTGTGGAGTCAGGCAGCAGGAATCCAGGGAACTAGATATAGAGTCCAGCTTTCAGCCAGGGAGTAAGAGGAACCTGAACAGTCAACTGGAAAATTGGGCAATCGGGAGATAACAGAACAACCAAAGTCTTTGGAGATGAGCAGCTGGAACCAGCCAGGAGCTCTCTACTTGCTGGCCTGCACTGTTCACAGCATCATGGGAATTGACCTCTTTGGAGAGTACAGTGAGAAGAACCACCTCCATGTCAAAATCATTCTTTAACATGTCAATAAGTATTTTCAGATATTGAGCCACAACTGTTTGAATGGGTGTTGGGAGCACAGGAACTTCATGGTGATAGAACAAATAAATGTTTCCTGCGTACTTTTGGTTCTGTGGTACTATGTGGAACATAAAGAGTCTTGACTGCAGTACTTCTGTAGGCAAAAGATGTTGGTTTCCAGGTTTGTGCCATACTTTTTACCTTCAATATCTTGCTGCTTTAATTGGAAACACATGATGATTTTCTTAACCCACTCAATGTTACACCAAAGCTGCTCTAAAAAGCATTTGTGGTGGGAACGAGGTGGGGGATGGAGGAGGAGCATATATCAACTTGAGCCCATTAGTCTAGTTACTATTCATGGAATTGCCATTGCAGGTCCCTACTTAATATAGTCTTATGCTGCTCCTTAGGTTCTCAATGGTTATAAAAACAGTAACCATCACTCCACACGTGCATGTGCCCAAGCTACTCTGGGTATGGATAAACATACTTCTTAGCTGCTTTAGAAGGGAAGGAGTAGCTGCTGCTCAGGAATACACAGCAGTTGTTACAATCTTTTCTAGCAGTACAGGTGAGCTAAACTGACAAATCTTGACCATGCATGAAAGAGGTTTAAAGTCGTAGCTGTTTTTGCTACACTATTGCTACAGAATCATGCAGGTGTAAGCTGTTATGATGCAGCTTATACCAGTTTCCTTGGATATTGATTGCAGTTGTTAGGTTTCTGCTAAAACTTCTGTCCAAAGCTTGCAACTGTGGCTGCTCTCACTTTCTTTCCAGTTGCGTAGTATTTTGGAGAACCATCTTTCTTTTCCTATCATTTTAGTACCATTTCTGAGTCTTTTTGTTTCATTTTTGCTAAAACAGTAATGTAGTTGTGCTGTATAGCTTTATGCAGTTAAATAATAGATTATGGGTTTTTGCTTTTCTGTCTGAATAGAATCATCAGAGAGAGCCAAAGAAGTGGCTGAGATTCAGGGATTCTGTACACCTTTCTTCTAACTGTTCAGCAGAGCAGCAGCACTTTAGGGGTGTGATATTCTTACAAGGTATTTCTCACAGGGTTGAAGAACAAACTCGGTTCTCTGAGTCCTGATGGCTTGTCTTGACATTTGATAAGATCAGTGTCTTTGTAAAATCATAGAATTGGTAGGTGTCTCAGTAGTCATTTGGTTCAGCCTGAGGCATAGGTGCAGGATTGCCAGTTGTTAAGCCATCCCAGGCAGATACCTGTTCAGCATCTTACACAGAAGATTCCATGTATTCTTTAGGCCAGTGGTCCTTGACATTTTTACCCTCAAAGCATTCCACATGGGTGAGGAGGGGGTATGAGAAAATCCTTGAAAGTTTGGAGCCTTTGAGTGAAGCGATTTAGATACTCTGGTCAACTGTCTGTAGGTTGTAGTAAGGCACTAGAATCCAAGACTGAACTTTTCTGTAGAGAAACAAACCTGGTGGGTGAAAAGGGATATTGGGATGTTGTGATGCTTCAGCTTTGAACAGTCCTTCTCTTTATTTCTCCCACCCTTGCAGGATCACCGTTATTGGGAGGAAGTTTAGCTTCCAAAATTCTTAAAGGAGTTTCTTGGGTGCTCCAGCCTCCCAGTTGAAACTCGCCTCTTCCCATCTTTATAAACTAGTGTATGTACCCTGTGTATAATGGATAGTTTATCACCCATCCTATCCATGTTTATAACCACCACCTCATTATTCTTTCCATCTGCAGAAGAAATCTCTTCCCGCTTCTAAAAAGTGTGCTAGTTTGACAAGGCAATTTGTATATAGTCCTTGTGACTTCTCATCCCTCCATAAGCAAAATTAGTTGTAAGGCCACATTTTTTTTAGAAGATAGAGGGTGGAATATAGGCTGTGTCACATTCCCCAGTCTTCCAAGAAAGACACCCCCCTTGGCCTAATACATCTCTATACTCTTTTAATTTGAAAGATCCGATCAGTCAAAAGTCAGAGTTTTTTATTACAGTTGGATGGCTAGTTATTCTCACTACTTCAGTCCAATATATGTCCAGAGCCCTGCCAACAAGTCTATTATTGGGTTTAACTTCCTCATGATACTAAGAAATGTAGTGCTCTTGATAAAGAGGTGCAAATAGGAAAGCTCACAACATTGTGAATGATCCAGTAGTCCTACCTTTGTAAGTTAATGTGGCAGCTCTAGAGAAGTTCTAGTAAGATTGTATGTAACACATTAAAAAACAGTTCCTACTAGTGCAGTTCTAGCTATCTAGCCATATATGTCTATCAGTCATAACATGGTGCCAGCTAGGTGCTTTTTGCTTTAAAAAGCAAAGCACAACACATCTCTAAGCATTTGGTAGGAGACAGTAAGTGGAGTGGAACTGAAGGAAGGTTAGGGAGTGGGGGGGAAAGGGGGACAGGGTACCATTGCCTCAGTGGTAGGATCTGCATCTAATGCCCACAGCTGAACTACATTATTCCAAGACTTGATAAATGGTTCGTTATGGGGATTTGCAGAACTCTGTAGCTAGACAGTTTTCCTTTTCTGAAACCATGGATTTTCCTGTGCTTCATGCAACTTATTTTTTCTATAGTGTTGAATTTTTTTCTGTGCTGCTGGGATAACTTTATGGGTTCTCTTTTTTCTGTTTATTTGGGGGGATTCCTAACCTGTTGAGATGGGATGCAATAAAAGATGGTATTTAGCCACCCGTTCAAGCTTTGCAAAGTGAGTAGCTGAAGTACTGTGGTTGAAAACCAACCTAATTTTCCTCCACTTGAGTCAAAACTGGAATAAGAGTTTGGAAAGAAAAAGAACAATTTGCAGTCTGCTGGTGTGTGAAGAGATGCAAAAAAGCATAGATACTGAGCTGACACACAATATAGTGGGCAGATCACGGATCTTGGAAGCTGATAAATTCTGAAGTGTAATCCT